GTGCTAGCTCTGGTACAGCCCCCCAAATTTTTTTGTCGAATAGACTTTTTGAGGCTTAGAATTGAGTCAATAACATATACAAAACGAAAAGATGAAATAGAAAACTTTAGAATTTTAACCAACGCCCTAATCCGTGGCAAAGCCACAGAAATTTTCAAAAATTCAGAAGTTTTGATTGATGCATTTAGGCTAAAGCGGAGGATTGGGGTATTTCACGCCAAATAATCAGTTATCATAGTGCATTAAGATTTTGTAAAAAAATTTATCATAATAAAAAACATCCAAGCACGTATGACTATCATAGTGCAACACATATAATCAAATCCAATACTGTAGTTAGTATTTTTTTACTGGTAAGATCTAACATATTCGGGTATAATATTGGGTGTAAATGCTTTATAAAAAAATTTTTTGTTGAACACTTTTCACATTAACTGGCACTGACAGTAATTCAAAATAATATGTATGTTGTGACGTTGAACTCAAATTTTTATCTAGTTGTCATGAAATTCCAAATATATAGCTTCATAAGAGAATTCAATTTATGAGTTTAGGATTAACAATTAATCACAATTCTTACTCGTTTATTAAATAATAGAATTTCCAAAATACATTTTTTATTGTCAAGTTCATATATATTAATGCGTTTATATTAAAAATCCACATATTTTAACCTTCAAATAAGATTTGATGCATTTATACGTAAGTATATATGGTCTTGATACGCTACGTAGTATGTAAAACGTTATAACTCCCATCCTAGTAAAGCAATTTTGATTTTGTAACTTGCAGATAGTGTATAAATAGAGAGATTTTAAAACTATGTTGCTATTTTTAATATTATTATGTAGATTTTAGCATGTATCTAGTCTAATTTTATAAATAATGAATGTTTTATTATTAGAATTTAATCATTTCGAATTTTAGTTAAATTAATAAAATAAAGGATATTTTTAACTCGTGCCAGTGGTTAAGAATAACCAGTATGCTATAGCTCAAAAACTGCACTATGAAACAGGGGTCGGGTAGGTTAAGTAAAAATGTTCAGAACCCCTGAAAACCTCACGAGAACTAAGATCAGGACCTGATACCCGATCTATATTATGTTATTTAAAAAAATTATTTTATATAAAAACCTCTATTTATCTTAAAGCTACACCCTAACCCTAAGTTTTAATAAAGGTGGTTATTTCTAACCAATGGTACAGAGAATAATAATTCTAAAATAAATTAGAAAATGTCTCAACATAGTTTTAAAGTTATAATATAAATATGCTATTTGCAAGCTACAGAATTGAATCTGCTCTAATAGAGCAAAAGTTATAATATTTTAAAAGTGTACAAATTTTATAATAAAATTATTATGAGACCCACTTAGTATCGCCACCAAAATCAGTTACATATATACATAGCTTAAATTTATTTGCCGAAACTAAAATAATGATTAAATAATAATAAAAATAATAATAATAATAATTACAGGTAGAACAATAAACCTTTCAACAAGTATTCTTTCAAAAATCCTTGGTGTAACATGCAATCTTTCTAAATATCTTTTAAACATTTTCCAACCTTTTATATTACATATGTGAAAGAAATACGAAAAGAATTTAATAATGAAGAAAATATTTGGAAAAATTGCATATCACACCAAATACTTTTGAAAGAATACTTGTGAAAAAGGTTTATTGTTCTACCTGTGAATTTACGTTGAAATTGTTTATTTCTTTGAATATCGTAATAGTTTCGTAATGAACAAAACTCTGCTCATCTTGTCGAATTATGAAACCAAGTATTGTGTTTCAGATTAATAGTAAATCATGTTTTGAGTATACAAACCGTGTAAATGAAAGCAAAAAACGGAAACGAATTTTAAATGATATTTTTAAGCAAAAGAAAATGGCATAAAATCCGAAGAGCTTGAATACGTATATAGTTTATGAAAAACTTATGGATGTTGAAGGAGAAAGCGATATGCATGTGGTATGCTAAAAAAGGATTACTTGTACAAATTCAACCAGCAATTCTTACCGAAAAATTATTGCATGAACAATTATTACCATCGCGGCGTAAAGAATTTAAAACTGCGTGGAATAAATTAACCACGCATACTGTAGCATTAAAAATATGGAGAAGTATTTAACTGATTATCAAAATTGGACATGTTCTTGTCCTTATCTTTTTAAAAAAGATTTTTAATTAAACATCTTGGTTAATCCTCTTTGGAAGATAGATTTATCATTTTTTCGGAAGAGTTGTCATTATTTTATGCTTACATTTTCTAAATCTAACATCATATTAATTTAAGCACAACGAAATTCTCAATATCCTTTTATTACGGAAGCTAAAGAATCTTTATGGGAAAATACTCGAACGTTGACCTTAGTTGATTGCACACAAGTCAATATAACGATCGATCTGGTAAATTCAGCAAACCGAAACATAGATAATGAGAAATCGAGTATATAATGAATCTGAAACTTTAAGACAGAGAAACCCTTCATAAAGTATAAAAAAATTTTTTTTTACATTATATTTCTGTGTTTAAATAAATATATTTATTATTTTTATGTTTAGGCGTTTAATCGTTTGAACAATCTAATAACTTTCCCAAACAAAAAAATGACTTCGAAGCATAGAATCGAACATTAATTCTATTCAAAAAATGGCAGATGACATTAAAGAATTTTAAAGTTTGACGCATGAGTTACAAAACAATTCCTTCAATTTCATGCAATAATAACACCACCAAATTTGTATATACTAAAATTGTATTAATAAAGATTTAAATAATATAATGTCAATGGCAAAAAAAAAACAAATTAAAGTTTATGCGTGTATAAAATAAAATTTGAATTTGTATGTAAATGCTTTTTAATAGATTCGAATTGAACGCAGCAATAATTAAATAAATTCTAATTAGTTGAATATATAAAAAAAAAAACTTCAATTATTTTTTCAAAAAATTTGTGATCTTGTGATTCTATTATTCTTGTGCGCAGATTAAAAATTTAAAAATTTAAAAAGTGACTATGTACTGTAACTGATTTTGGTGGCGATACTAGGTGCGTTCTACGCATGTGTACGTCTGAGTATACTTTTTTAAATTTTTTTTTTTAATGTCCGTACTAACTTATACTGCCGTACTGTACTAGTTTACTATATATCCTTCGATTGAGATTTTTATATTTTCTGTATCGTACGTACGTACGTATATATCAGTACTAGTACAAGTATAAATGTTTTATAAAAAATAAGCAACTTCCTTTTGAAATTAGCGAAGTGGAGGCTTACGAGGATATACAGTCCAACAAGTCAAAAAACTTTGGCTCAAAATAAATTTGGAATAGATATAAAAACCTTAAAAGCTTTAAAATTATTAATTAATAATTTGTGGAATAAAAATATTATTTACTTATTTCAATGTAATACCTTATGCATATATAATATCTTAAAAAATATATATTCTGATAAGTGTTCAAAAAATCTGTTTTCCAGGGCCACATTTTAGACATCCTCAATTGGCAAAATAGTAACTCTATCTTAACTGTCGGTAAATTAGTTAATACCATTCGTACCTTACGCTTAAAAAAAAAATTTGCTATACAAGAGATGCCAAGAAATTTACTCATTATATGAAGTTGTTAGCAAAAGTAGAGCGAAAAATATGATGTTTTTGAGATGATATTAATTGTTTTAAGGTATGTATCTGTTGAGGATGCTTCACTAACAAAAGTTTATCGCAAACACCATTGATAACTCTAAACGGATATTAATATTCACTACTCAAAAATCGAAAAGAATCTTTCTTTTGACTTAGAAGACACAATATATCACTGTCTATTAGATCCTGGAAATGTTTTGTTCAAGACTGCCATGATGAATAAATTGCCCAACCAATAAGAGAGCATAAGATGATCTGTTCATATTGTCCAATAAGAAAATATTTAGTATTCATTAAAATATCAACCTAAATCGAACTGTTATGTTTACAAAATTTTTTTTATCAAATTTTGTCGAGTAGTTATTAGAAAATCCGAATAAATTTTATCAGCCCAAAAAAGTAACTGCAACTAACTTTGAGCGAAGGCCTCTCAAATATTAACATTCAGCTGTCTTTCTTAGCAATCATGTACCTTATTTTGCAGAATTGTGTTAAGACGATTACTTTTTAGAATAGAACTAAATTTTTGATCGACAGAGTAAAAAAATAGAACCATATCAACAACCTTGTCTTAAAGTTAAATTTTCGATTTTCATATTTTCTAGTATCTTTGGCCATACAGTATTTCTAAAGCTTTAAAACTTGAATAAATTTATTTCTTTCACGATATATAGTCGGAATAATATTTAATAATTAATAATGGCTTTCTTACTGATAATAAGCATTTAATAATTTTAAATGTATCCATCAGAATATTTTATGAATTATAAATTATAGAATGCCTTCAGGTTCTGTAGAGTCTTAAAATATTGTGAATTCTTTACCTCCATATGTCCTATATTAGAAAATTTTTTTGATATTTATATAACAATAATACAGTAATAGAGTACTGTAATAAGATTTTGAGCAGCTACGATTTTATGGGCGATACTAAAATGGCAGACTAAAATCACAATTTTTTTAATCATTTCAAGCACTTTGATTAAATGAAATTGGAGATTATAAGAAACGCTTTGACACTTAGTCTCGAATGAGTATATTTAATAATAATAATTGTCGCGGATTAGCGTGAAATCGGATCATCGTGAAATTTTAGGGTCTCGATTTGAAAATATAAGCTCTACCAAACTCCACCTATACTCTTTTATTAATAACTCAAACCTAAATCCTAACTTAACTATAAAAAAAAAAGCCGACAAAAATCCCCAAAAAAAGTTAAAAATCGAACATAAAATAGATATAAATTTCACGATGATCTGATTTCACGATAATCTGTAATAATAATTACATGAATTACATAATGTTAACAATTTTAAGCACTAAACAAATAAAATGATTAAAATGATTTTTTATCTGCCCCTTTTCCAAAAATAATTTTTAGTTCTTGAATTAATTTTTCGCTTTCCTCCAGTTTTTGAATTATTGCTTTTTCATCCGCTAATTTTTGAATCGTCTCTTCTTTAGCAACTAGTTTTGGAGACTTATCTTCATCCTCTGTTTCACCAACGATTTTTAATAGCTTTAATAACGAATTAGGAAGAAATGGCGTTTCGATGGTATCTTCATCCCACTTATTACTTCGTATTTTAATGGCTATATCATAAAGTTTATCGAGACTAAACCTGTAAAATCTTTAAATATTAATTTAATTAATATTAAATTATCTTTACAATAAATTACTACTAAATTAATCTTTACAAAAGCTCAGGAAACCAATTATTTTTTCTTCGTTGATAGGGTAGCATATAAAAAAGTTCTATTTCTGATATAATCTGTTTAAAGAGTACAAGGAATGTTACAATTTTAAAATAAAAAAAATAATAAGCAAATTATTCTAATATAAATATTACCTTTGCTCTTTGAAATAAAAATATCTCTTTTTTATTTGTGTTACTAATAGAATCGGATAATAATCCAATAAACAAATTCATTAGATAGATGGTTGTAAAAAAGGAAAAAAGAATTAGCAAAAATGTTAGTGTCAAATTTTCAGTTAATGACCAGTTTGACACATAGGATGAATCGCCTATATATGTAGTAAAGAGTTATCCAATTATAAATATGTAATTTAAATAAGTATAATGATAATAATTGCTAAAAGATATGTAATTAAAAATACCTGTTAACATCATATATACGGCCAAATATGCTGTATCTAAATTTGTAAACATATTTATATTTGAATTTTCTGGATTATTTGAAACATCTGATCTTAATAGAATATGTAATGAATGTGCAAAAGCAAACATAATAAACCCAATTATTACAAAAAATGATAAACAACTTTTGATAACCCCGATAATTATTGCCCAATTTGTGCCACCAAATTCAATAGCACGAAAGAATGTTATAAATTTAAGTTCAAGTAATAATATGAAAATTGTAACAGACCAAATAGGTATATTAGAGGATTGTAACCAATTTATAGAAGTTAATATAGGAAATAATATTGCACCCATATCTTAAAATATAATATTATTAGTTAGATAAGTATTATAAATTTATTAAATAAAAAAATTAAAATATGTATATATACCAAAATAATTCCAAATTTCAGTAATCCAAGGTAGAGGAGAAAAAATACGTTGCCGAATTTCAAAGGTAAGATGTAAAACTCCAAGAATAATAGTTGTAATTAATAGTAAATTTTGAGTACTATCTGATAATCCTTCAATTGTAGCAACTATCAAAAAACTAAGCATAAAAATAAGATAAAAAACAAAAATAATGAAGAAATAGTATTTTCTATAAGTATTCCACTTAAAATTAAGAAGAGCTTCGCCACACCAATATTTATAAAGTTCAGGAAATTGATGTGTAGAAAAAATGCTAGGTTTAGGAAAAATTAATTCTTTCCAAGGATTATATACAGTAGGATATGAACTAAATTTTAGAAATGAAAAAATTAAAATTACAGCTTGAAAATCTTTATAAAATGTTGATTCTATTTTTATCAATATATTTTTTACTTTTTTAGAAAAGTTTAATAAAGTAAAAAGATATTTGCTGATAATATTCTTTTTAATATTACTAGTTACATAAGGTTGTGAATATTTTATATGACTCTGAAGATGTGGTTCTGAAAAGAATTTGTTAAATTTAATTTTTTCATTATTAGTTGAATGAATAAATAAAATATGAGATAAACATTTTTTTAATAATTGAGGATATTGAATTAATTCTTCAAATGAAAAGGTTAAAATGTTTAAAAATTGAATCTTCTCCAAAAAGTTATCCTTTTCTGCTTCCTTGCATATTTTATTACATAATATCTCTGCTGGTAGATAGAATTGAAGTTTTAATAAACCCTTTAGAAATTCCCCCCCATATAATTTCATTGATAATAAGTTTGGTTCATTGCATATTTTATTACATTATCTTTCTGTCAATGAGTAATGTTGAAACTCTAAGCAGAGTTTTATAAGTTCTTGCCCATATAAATTCATTAATATATTATCATCAATATAATTATCCCATAAGTTATCTAGAAATTCTTTAAGAAGTAATAATCACTCATCATCTTTATTTTTTGCAAATAATTCTTCACAATCAAAAAGATAATCAAAATTTGAAAGTGGAATTGAACTTTTTTTATACTCTTGTATCCTATTTAATAACTTTTCAATGTCGCAATTTTTTATATTTTTATAGTCATAATTATTATAAACATGATAATTATATCTATAGGACATATAATACAATATTCTAATTTGTTTGATTTTTCTGTCTTCTTGCCAAGTTGACCATATAAATAAGCAAAAAGATGTAATAATAACTAAATCATCATTATGCAACAAATCACAACTACAAATATACGTTTCTATATTCTGTGAAAAAGAATAAAAATTTTTTAATTTTATACTATCTACCGGTACATCTTCCCAAGTGTTTGAGTCAATTTTTTTAAAAGTCTGTATTATGTTTTCCTTGCCATTTACTTTCCATTTCACTAATGATCCATAATATATTTCTGTTTCCTCCATCTTACTGAGAGAATTATTACCTTCATTTTTATTTATAAATTCTTGTAATATATTCTTTATTTGACATTTTCTGGGTAAAACTCTTATTTTATCAAATTTTTGTAATATTTTTGTAAATATTTGATCTATTGCTTTTTAGAAATCTTCTGAACCCATAAACACCCCTTTGACTCATAATATATTTTTTTGTCCATCAATATTTTAAATTCTGCACAGTGAATATCATATTTTATTGAAGCTTTATCATTTAAAAGTTCTATACACAGATCTGATAAATAAACATCCTCAATGACATGTTGAAGTTCGTAAGGGTATCTTATATCAAGCTTATCGGCATAAAATTTTATAAATTTATTACTAGAAAATAAGAGTAATCTTTCTTCTTCACTGAATAAAGTAAATTTGAAATATCTGAAATTAGTTCTTGGTCTTGTAACTTGACCTATTAATTAACCATATGACATATATAAGTAAAATTATAATAAATCAACCAGTGATGTTTGCACTACTAATATTTAAGAAATTTTGGCTATTATCATCAATCTAAAGCTAGGATTAGCGTTACATAAGGATTTTGATTGCTTAGTATATTAAATACTAATTGTTTAGCAAATTGTTTAGTTGCTTAAGCATATCAATTATAGATAAACACCACTGGTTTAATTTAATAATCTCAGAATATCAATAGTTATACAGAAGGTGTTCAGATTTACAGTATAAACACCTTTTTACAAATAGTGATATACAAATTCAGATAACTTACATTGTGATAAAAGCATCGAATTTTCTGCAGAATAAACGTAAATAATTTCAGCATTTCTTTCTGTTTTTGCATATACTGCAAGTAATGTAGAATTTCTATTAAAAGTACATTTAAGAGATTTGTAGTTGTGGTGGGATGCATCTAATTGATATTGTTTTTCAAAGGATAATGTATTTAAATTCCATTGTGTTAATGACCCACATTTATCAAGAAGCATTATCTTTTCTTTGGTCATAAAATGCTTTACATCTTTAGTGTTTCCACAGCAAATTGAATTATTAATTGTCCAGCTTTGCTCATGTGAATTTTTAAATGAACCTTTAAGAATAAAGTAATAATCATCAATTATACTATGCTTTGCACACATTACGAAATCTTCATTATTATAAAATATACATCGATTAGTCCATGTATCGAAATGATCATCTGAATATGGAAGCAATTTTAGATTTACTTTCTTCTTGGTGGTGAGATTATAGACTTTAAAATAATAAATGTTTTCAGGATTAATTTCAAGTATTGCAAATATTATATAGATATTCTGCAGATGATTTTAAATATCGTGAATATTTTTTTGGTCGCATACAAGATGTGAAGTTTGATTGGCCGAGAATCGGCCAATCAAATTTCATATCTAGTATGCGACCAAATAAATATTCACGATATTTAAACTAATCTGTTGAATATCGGTATTATTACTGCAGTTTTTGACGATTGAAAGTCTGATTTAATTTCATGCTGTAAATATGGAAAAAAATTGTGCATTCTTATCATAAGAAACTGCATAATAATATTAATTATTTATCTAAATGTTCATGAACCAGCTATTTTTGCTAAGTCTCATTTTATTGCAACAAGTTTATTATTTGAAACTGCCAATAAAAATGGGTAGCCCTTTTCATTAAACTCTTGAGTATTTATCAAACAATCAAGCTTGAAGGATATAGGTTGGTATGATTCATTTTCTTTTTGTTTTACGGGTTGATCTAGGTCAAGTTGCCATCCACAAATTTTATGATCTTTAAAAGTAGTTACGCTGCTAATTGTCGCTGCATACTTGCTATTTGGTGATAGCACCAATATCCTTACATTTTGGTCATAAGGTAGTTTAGTTGGTCTTGGTGGTTCAGATTCGATTTCAATTTTTTGCTCTATATTTTCAAACTTCGGTGCCTGTGAAGATGCACCTTCTTTATTCATCTTTAAAAAGAATATTTTATTTCGTATGCGATTTTATATTTTTATAAATTATGGCTTAGAATACTATTTAGCATGTGATGTCTATATTAGCTTAACTAAATAGCTATCACAATTTCCTGTAATCACATATTTAATGTAATTTTTATTAATTTAGAAAATTTATAAGCCATAGATGAGATATTCAATATTCAATTCGATATACTTTGAATAAACTATGGAAATCTACGTATGAGATTTTCACATAGTATTGTAAATTTTGTTTTGATATAAACTTGATATTTTTGCTTATTAAATACAGACACATGTGGTTTACTGAATAATTCCTTTTTTATATTGTCAATGCTCACATAAAGCTTTGGCGAAGAGGTTGCCACATGTGCAAGTTTTAGTTTATAATAAAATTTTTAACCACAAATTAGATTTTTTTTGTATAGAACTAACTACAGTGTCTATGATTTCTTCGAATCTGATCATCAATTATTATTATGTCAATGTAAGGACTCTAGCTTACCAGCTAAAAAATTTCACTAAAAACTTTATTACTAGGTTGTGTTACGTTCTCTCTACTGGTTAAAGATTATATGAATACAAATAAGACTTTGGGCTTATTTATTATTTACCGAATTCAGCCCTACATGACTTAATTAGTGTTACCAGGGCTTTGGTCTTTATCTGGTACTGTAAAACCAGTAAACTTGAAAGCACGAAGTCACATTTTCCCTTGGCGCCATTCATATAGTAGTACTAAAATTTTGCATCGAAAAATTTTTCTGCTAAGGGTACAGAAATTAATTTCAAAGCAAATTTTCAAGTACGATAAATTTCGACAATCCACTGTAAAAATTTTAATCAACAATCGGCTATTTTAATAATTCGAATCTAACTTGACCATACAGTACTGCTCTAATTATAAATTGTGATTTGTTTTTTTTGTTACGCATTTCTTATTTGTATTTCTTATTGTGTTTACATATTTTATTTTCTATAATAAGAAATAAATTAAAATAATGCGGATAGATAAACATTCATTTTATCAATTAAAATCTATGTGCACAATGTGCTCAGTGCTACATCAGAGACGTGAAGTTGTTACACAATTGATAACGAATTTTTTTACATTATTTTACAATACTTTTTTGAAAGGCTCATGTGCCTTATCCTTTCTAAGAAATGTAAAAATCTTAGAAGCTCGCAATTTGCTTTATAACATCATTATGAATCCCAAAATTTGTAAATCAGTAATTTGATTCGTCAATCAATCATGTTATAACAATAAGAATTTAGCATAAAAATCGCTTCCATATTCGGATGGTCTCTGCTGTAAATTTTGCAAATTTTGGGCTGAATAAAACACATAGTGCACACATTTTAAATGTTTTTTACTATTTATAAGCAAACTCAGCATCGCCCATAAAAAAAAAATACAGCTGACATCACTTGTAAATAAAATAGATCTGATATATTGTATACAATATACGTACGTACGTATCCCTTA